GTTGTCGCCCAAATATGAAATTCCATTGGGATGACAACATCATGTTAATGCTTCTCCTTTCGAGCCACTCCATGTACCCGTCGAATGGTAGTCGTTGCTTGTTCTGCGAAGCCTTTCAAAGGAGAGGATGGCACGTCATTCTTCCGCCCCATGGAAGAGCTTTCTGCGTAGCAGCATCACTACCGGACGTGAAGGGCAGCAGATGGGGTTGTATTATTTGAGCTCAAAACGTCAGTTTGACGACATGTGATTCAAAGGTTACTTCTCCACGTGGGGGTCGGGCTCGTCTGCCCCCGGGCGGGTTGACCACCGCGGAGCAGCAGTTGGTCCCGGTGGTACAAAATGCTCTTCTATATCTTACTGTGCTGTATGATCTGCATGGCTACAGATATCGTCACGCCTTCGTAAAAATCAATTTCATGATTTCCGTGACTGACAGCTGACCTGTGTTTTGCAAGCAAATCAAAGATTGCGTTCAATTCAGCCAAAACATTACACAAGGCCCAAGATGTGCCACCCTGTGAATTGGCTTTGATCCCATTGAAAACTGCCAATCATAGTGCAGTACGTCTCCTCGCCCATCTTGATATGGTCCATGTGATGCCAAGAACACTGATGCATTTCCTCACCCTCAGGAGGGGGCGGCGCCGGCGGCTTTATTCTAGTACTGTATACAGAACGGTGCCCGAATAGGGTACTTCCATTAGGGCGCCTTTCTCTTGAAGGTGGTTTTGGGAACGATGCTCTACTGTTCGCGAAAGACTAATGTGAGTGAGTTCAGTGGTACTTTTCGGTGCACAATCAAGAAGAGTGCGGTTAGTTGGACTTTACAACGGTGAGGTACAGTACCCTTGGTACAATATATGGATATGCTCTCAGATTGTTGTACAGTTCCGCCTCCAAATTGTACTAGTCAATAGGACCGTCGAATGGGGACGCGGTGTTAATGTTAAGTATTAAAGTGCATTATTTCATGGCACCTTCTTCCATCTTTCCCACCGCAGCCTATCCAAAGCTCTTCCGCTTCTCCGGCACGACATTTCTAATGCCCCCGTTCCACAGATATAGCAGGGCCACCGTGTTTGGCAGTTATGGATTTTTGCCATTGTGTCTGCGGAAGCAGAGGTGAGAAGACGTGGCTGTTGTGAAATTTACATTCTCTCCTACTGCTAAAAGCAAGATCTAAATCTGGTCCTTATAACCCTTTCGATCAAGCAACATACAGTGTTGCAAAAGCAGGAAAGCGACTGCATTTCGACTTGGAAGTATTTCGAACATTGTTTATGTTATTTGCCCTTACGAGGAGGATTCGGTGTCGCAACACAAACAGGCTGCCCCGGGGGTCAAGCTGTTTACGATTGGCTTCTTTCATGCATCTGTCCGTCCTCGGTGTCAGGCATATTTGCATTACGTGCAATATCAGAGGGAGAGGGAGGAGGGGCTTCATGTGAGATACGATAAACATACACGTACTGTACAGTGCTCATTCTTATCATTGTCCAGGAAGACTTGACGTCCCATGTAATCGGAATTTGTAGAGAAATATAATGAAAGAATCATGGCTGTCTTTCTTCATTCGGTCAAACTCATACCCTATTTTTGGCACATAGCTGGTACATCGGCAAATATATACGGATGTATGTGAGAGACGTAGAGCTTTCAAGTCTGCAACTGGGGTACAGTTCATGATCGAAAAAGGAAAGAGGCGTCATTTGTTGAGCACAGTCGTTCAGCACCGAATCGTTACTGATATGCGGAGCTAGGTGAAGGCAAGAGAGCCTACGCTAGTAGTCTATTTGCTTCTCTTAGAGGCAACGAACTCGTCACTGATGGAGGCTCTCGTCTCAGAGGCAAGATATCTGTGTCCATGACATCTTGGAAATCACAGTAATGGTTTCAGGAGGCGTCCAATGTACTATGCAGTACGTAGTTGTCGTGCGTTTAACACCATGTGGTGCCTCAAGGCAAAAGTGATAGTACAGTAATCGACATAGAGATACGTAAACACATTTTAGCAGAGCGTATACAGTGGTTATTTCCAGTCACATTTACCTTGAAGTGTGACCGTCCCACACCAAAGCTTAATAAAGCGCTGCATCATCGACAGGGAACATGCCTTTCAAGTGGCGAAAACCACGTTGAGAGAAGAGGACCGAATGCAGACGTCCTTCAGGGGGCGGACACGGAAAGAAATATAACGTTGACCTTGGCTCCAGTACTTTTGGCGGTGTTCCCCGTGCTGCTACACGACAACCGTCGACATACAGCAGAGCATGATGTACAGTATGACGGGCTCGCATGTTGTTCAATTGTCGGTTTCTCAAAAAATTTTGGAACGTCGATCCGGCCCCTTTTAATACTTGCCGAAGAAGCGCGGGCCGCGCCACGAAAATGTCGATGAGAGCAATACACATATAATCGGAACACCAATCGGCGATGAAAGCTCGAAGCCGTGAACCAACAACTTTGCATTAAGAAATTGCATTGACGCCATGGCGGGCAGCGCCGTCACACTGGACACGACTAAAGTTTATGCGAACAGGCACGTGGCTTGCGATGCTTTCAAATGTAAATTTCGGCGGACGAAGGCATTGGTGGAGGGCCGATTTGGCGGGGACGATTTGGTCTGAGCTACTCTTCTTCGACCGATTTCGAATATTTTGCATATCCTACAAAAGCCTGAAAGAGTGTGCGTTTTGTTTTAGAATTTCGAAACAACCAGTGAAAATGGCAACAATGAAGGTGCATTGGGTTGAATGCGCGGCAGTTTAAAAAGGAAAATTGGGGCAGTCCACCAGAGCCATTGGCATCGCTCACAATCCCATGCTCTTGGGCTCCGAACAGCCGGCCACGTGGCTTCGCTGCAGCCTCTGTAGCCCCGAGTCAATTACTGTAACTCACTCCACCCAGCTCAGTTGAAATGAAAACAAGACTCGCAGCTTTTGGACCAGATCAGTGGGTCGCTGTAGAGCACGCATGACATCATGTGTGCGCGTCGTGTCACACTCTGGGCATTCAGCCAATGGTGATACGGCAAAATTCCCAAATAATGGTCACACCCAGCAAGGGGAAGTGCTGTCCGTCAAGCTAAACGCCCGTGCGCTTGACACGTTGCGCGAGCAGCCCACGGATTGTGCCTTATGAGTGCGGCGCCCTAATTGCTGCATACTTGTTGACTATGGGCGATCCTATTGGTCAACTATCGTGGGTCGCGAGTCCTAGCTGCCATTCTTGTGTGTAGCGGCGGGGGCGCTGTGCACCACATTTGAACCATTTCGAAACGGTAGCAATGAGCAGGGCCTGTTTACGCGACTGCAGAGGGCACTGCATCGGAAGAGCTGCACCATGAGGAGAGGTCATGAGACCGCACTGCCCTCTTCATGGTCCCCCCACGCTTATACAAACTTTTGCACGCGCGAGCAGATAAAGCAATTGTGATTTGTTACGTGCGAGGCGCTCACCTGCGGCACTCGGGTACAGAAATGCATCTACGATGCCAATCGCCAACCACAATCGGATCTTGGGCAGTGCTCCACCCAAAAGCCACCGACCCGAAAAAAGCCTGCTAGCTGAGGACATCATCTATTCGCGACCTAATTAATGATCGAATCCTAAGCGCAGGGGATTGTGGCGGCATCGTCGAGGGCGAGGGCCTCGGCCCCAATGGCGGGGTGGTGAGCCAAACACAGTAGTGACGTGTCTTGGCGAAGTGTGCGGATTTGTCGCAGTCAACGAGCGCGGGCGGATCGGGCGCGCTAAGCGATTTCGACAAGACGCAAAGGCAGCCGTGATGCAGATGCGTTTTATGGGTGGCCGTGGTCCTCCTCTACGGCGGCTTGCACGGAGAGCGGACGGACACAACAAGCGCGCACCGAACGTGAGGGAGAGGGAGGGGTGCAAGAGGGGGGAAGGAGCGCGGAAGGAGGTGGCGAAGAATGGGGGAGGCGGAAGGTGGCGGACGGAGGGGGCGGGAGAAGGTACAGTAGGTACAGTAGGTATTACAGTTGGTGCGGAAGGGTTGGCTTACAGCAACTGAAAAGAAAAGGGTGTTAGGAGACCACGACGTTTATTATTATAGAAATAAATAAGAAGTATATATATTCACGACGACACGTGGTGTCTGCTTGGGATGTACGTACACGTGCAGTTCTCTAGCAGTGTTACTGGGCGGGAGGAGGGCCAGGTATTGGACGAGCGAGGGAGATGGCCGTGTCACACGGTATGAAAAGCGGGAGGGAGAAAAGAGTGTCACGCGCACACGTAGAGGGCCGAGGGAAGCGTGCAGTGCTCAAGGAGTGACACATGGCGGGAGAGCGGCGAGAATCGCCGGTCTCGCGTCGCTCCGCTTTAACATCTGCAAGCGCGCCGCGTTGCGCGAGCATAGCGATCGTCTCTTCGCTTCGCGCCATGGCCACCAATGCGACTACCTTCCTCCTACCGTGCAGCGCCCCCCAGACCATACAATGCGCCACAATGCCATACAGTGCGATCGACAGTCCACATTTTGCTGTCTGTGATCCGCTTTTAATAGCCCGCCCTTACCGCTATATAAATGTTGAGACCTCGCGCCCTCGTCACCCCGGTCATCTCTCCACCTTATAATCCGTCAGCCCTTCGCAACTCCCTACTAACACCGCACCAACCGCAACTCCCACACCTCCTTTTCCGCCATGGTTTCCCTTCACCTGGTATTCGGCCTTCTTCTCCTCGTCCTTGCCTCCCATCGGGCTGACGCCCACGGTCTCGTATGCGACCCACGTCCCCGAGCCGCCTACCACAATGACAAGTGCGGCTCCAACCTCCCCATCCCTGAAAACCCAACCACCGATTTCTGTGCCCATTGCCTCAACGGTGGTACTGTCGCCACCGTCAAGGCCAACCTCCCACCGGGGGGTTGGAAGGTGTACGAGCCGACCAAGGATTTCCCGGGCACTGCAGCGCGAGCAGGTCTATGTGGAGATCCTGTCGGGAGGGGAGATCACATGATCGGCGGAGACTTCATGCCCTACGACACCGTTCCCATCGTGTCCCATTACAAGACAGGAGGTTTGGTCGACTTCAGTGTAGAGCTTGACACCAACCACAACGGTTATTTCGACTTCTTCGTTTGCAACCTTGATAAGTGCGGTTCGGACATCTCTGGCAAGTGCTTCACTGAAGGCCATTGCCAAAAGCTTCTCCGCGTCAAGCACAAAGATTGCGAAGATCCTAGCGTCGACACTAACTATGAATGCGGTCCCATCGACCCGGTCTACCCTGGTCGCTGGTACGTCCCCTGCCGGAACACTGGTCACGTTGGGGTCCACATTGTTGGGGGAGCATCCGGCACCATGCGATACCAGCTTCCGGCTGGCCTTTCATGCGAGCACTGCGTCATTCAATGGTATTGGGCTACCGCAAACTCTTGTGCCCCCCGTGGATTCCTTGATTACTTCGAGACCTTCAACAATCCCTTCGGAACCACCTGTGAGTCAGACGGGGGCGGGAAAGGTGCTCACCGCAAGGGCATGTCCGAGTGCGGAGGCGATTCCGCTCCGGAAGAGTTTTGGAATTGTTCTGATGTTCAGATCACTCCGGATGGAAAGCCGGCGGGACCGGTCACGGCCGTTGGCGCGCCCGTCGAGGAACGGTCATCGATGTCAAACGATGAGGAGGAGGTCAAGGAGGATCCTGAAGCCGTCATGGAGAAGGCTGCTGAAGAGCTTGAAGAGGATATCGCCATGACCGCCGACGAGGACTCTGGAGAAAAGAAGGAAGAGGAGATGAAGAACGCTAGAGGCGATTGCTTAATGGAGGATGAGCCATGCGACGCCTCCGTACCGTGCTGCAACCCCCAGCAGGTGTGCGTGTACACGGAGAGCTCAACTGGCTTCACATGCCGCTTCTGGTGGAGCTTATGGAAGGACGTCGAGGAGAGGGAACAGGAAATGTAGAGCGCTTCACAATCTCGAGGACTGGACAAAGACCCGGAGTGAGATGTAGGATTCTGCCTCCTCCGTCCATATCAATTTCAGGAGCCTTTACATATTTTTTACGCTCCACCTAATACGCTGGCTGTATATCTGTCGGAAGCTCTCCCTCTCCTCCGTTCCCTGCAAGGAACTTGTACAAACTTTTGTTCCGGGCGGCTTCACTAACTAGTCAGTCCCACGTTTTGAACGACTCCACAATTACAATATATGCATACACAATAAAAACATCTGCTTTTTTTCCATACACTTTGCTTTGCTTGCTCTTACCTTGCGACGCACAGTCAGTTGAGTCACTGCCTCTGCTGTCTCTAGGCGGCGCTCCCACTCAAGCGACTTATGCCAAGCGACAGGGTTATCTTTGTGACACTCACGCGAAAATATGATAAGTCGTTGCATCTGCCGTCATGCTGAACCTATCAAAAAAAAATGTTTGGGAATTCTTGAAGGTGAATTATTTCTTGTGCTTGTGATTACTCCTGGATGCTACAGAGTACTGTGTCTACATGAAGACTGCATGCACATACCGTATCCAACGCCCTTTGGTACCTACTCTACACGTACTGCTTCTCCCGCATATGCCACACAACTGACACCGAACTTCTACTAGCGCGCATCCCCCTATCGATCGTCAGCGTTTGAATCAAGCTGTCTTAATGCTGGGCGTCGAAGCTTTGCCCAGTCCATATCTGCGCGCTGCACGCCCTTGGCGCCAAACAGCGTCTTCGCCATAGTATTGTGCACCGTTTGACTCTCCATCCTTGCGATGCTAGCCTGCGCCCCGTCGCGCCCAGAATTACGCCACGACTTCGCCGTGTTAGCGGCATGCATGGCGGGGCGTAAATTCTCCTGCTCAGCACTTGCATCGACGTGGGCGTAGCTAGCAGACTCGTCCGGCGTTTCTTCTGCGAGCATCGAGAGGGCGGGGACGGTGATGTTAATGGTGTCGCCGTCGCGGGTGATCCTGACGTGTGCAGCAGGCGGATGGTCTGCGGGCCGGAGAGCGCGCGGTGGGGGAGAGGGCGATATATAGACAGGGCGGATGTCGTAGGAAGAACTGACCGGGGTTGGGGGGGAGAGAGCTGAGAATGCGGTGTCCGGAGAGACGGGAGAGGAGAAGTGTGTGTACTCGGAGAGGCTCTGCCTTCTCTTCGGCACAAAGGGAGTCGCTGGGCTTGCAGGGTGGTGAGGGTCGTCGAGAAGACCTTGTGGCGCGAGAGGGACATGTGGTACGAGAGGGGCTTGTGGTGCAGGGGAGCTCTCGAAGCGAAGCTGGGCCCAGGCCTTGAGAGCGCGGTCCCATCTGCGGAGTTCGTTGACTTGTTCGCAAGGGAGGGGTCTTTCGTCACGCCAGTCTGCGCCTTGGGCTCGGTGGGTATCAACCCAGAGGCGAAGAAGGTGACCAGACGACGGGGTGGCGGGGTCGAAGAGGGGAGCCGAGGGCGTGCCCATGGCTGCGATTGATGCGATTTGACGAACTTGGATGAGGCGGCCATCGAACTGGGCGCGGTTTGCAGTTTTGCGGCACAGACGGCGGAGCTCGCGGACTTGCTTTTGGGAAAGAGGTGGGGGGAGGGTGACGCGTAGCATGCCATTGACGGAGGTTAGGGTTGGAGGGGGAGCAAGGAGCGGGGCTAGAGGCGTGTGAGAGGAGGTGGTTGGAAGCATGGTTGTGGAGGGGGAGGCGAGATGATGAGGATGAGGGGGGAAGGGTTGCAGGTGGGATCTAGAGGAAGAGTTGGGGGAAGGACGTGGGGGGAGAGGCCGGCGACATGAATGGTGTGTGTGTGGGGGGGGGGAGGTGAAATAGAGGAAACGAAAGGATGAAGCGAAAGAGAAGGTGTGTCGGTGGGCTAGGAGCCAGTGTCGGCGGTAGGGCGCTGGGGGGAGCAGGGGGCAGAAGGAAGAAGGTCGTTGACGGGAATCCGGCGCAGACCGTGTGAGTCAGAGAACGACGAGACGGATAGGGCGACAGGTGAAGGGGCAGAGGGCGTCTTACAGGTGCGAGACGTCGAAGGGTGGAGAGTGTGGCTGCGGCGGGAGCAGTGCTATTTAAATTTGAATTGCTGCATTTTGGGGGGAATTTCCTACGAAAATTCTGAATCACCGAATTATCCCGCTCACCTTTCCTCACCACTGCACTTGCACCGCCCCAACAAACAGTGTCGTGCAGCGCTCTGCTGTAAAACGATCTAATGAGAACAGCGCAAAGGTGGGCTCCTGCTCGCAGCGTGAAACGCCACCGTTCATGCACTATATTCATTCCATTGAGTACGCAGCTTCGACGTAGTGTAGGCTTAAGATCAATTCTTCCGCGTCGAACTACGCCGCCTGGTGTCGTCAGAAATTTTTATCACATCCACTTCGTGCCATGAGCCGCACAGAGACAGATGACATGCTGTGATGTCCAACTCTAGCTAGAGTGCCTGGTGCGCACATTGCTTACGTGACTTGGTGCAGAAAGAACCGAAACGTCAGACTCGTCTCCAAACCGCCTGTGTTTCTAAAACAAATACAGTATCCATCATTAGGCAGGCCTACCAACGACTAGTCTTCCTTCTTTTCCTCCTCCGTCTCAACGGCTCAATTGCAAATGCACTCTTACCACCACGGATCTGTCATTAATTCGAGTTTAAAGCGGGGCCGTTCTACCCATACGAATATACTCACGGGGTTCAATCTCATTCTCTCCAACTGTCGGCCACATCAACGGATCTCGGCCGCGAAAGAAGAGTTGTTCAGATTCCGGAATATTGAACGCTTCTCTGACAGCCGGGCCTAAGTCCCTCAATCGGGTTGCGGGAGTCGCATTAATCTCTAGAATCCTTTGGCCATATCCGATGACGAATATGAACCTGTTCTGGCTTCTCATTTGCCGTTCGAACTTGTGGCTGACAGCGGGGGTGTCCAAATCTCTGTCAGAGCGGTGCGTGAAAACGTTCTGAATTCTTCGGGCAATGAGGGCGTTCAAGATTCTCGGAGAGAGATAGGACCAACTGCGCCCTTTGTACAGTTTTTGCTCTGAAGGGGAATAGCGACAAAAATGTATGACGGAGAGCAGAACATTCTAGTTTTCATTTATGTATTTTTGACGAACCCTAGGGGCTTGTCAGGGAAACTTGTCAAGAACTATATCCCCAGAATGCGATCCGATTAAATATCACTATCACGTTTCGATAATGTGATGTTGTCATGAAAACGGGGGCGGTTGAGCTACTACCAATCTCATGCAACAACGCAGCGGTACTCAACGAATGCATAGATCCGGGGCCTGATTCCTAGGCTTAAGGCACGAAAATCTACGGTCGTCCTTGCTTGCTCGACATGCCTGTTGAATGAATGTGCGTTCGCACCTGACGGAGAAAAAAAGTAAAGAGGTACGTACGGTCGCACGTGAACTCGTGATGAACAGGGACTCCTACCGTAGTGACTATCCCGTCATAAGCCACGAAAACCTAAAAAAGTGCAAATTTAGCTTCTTTTTAGCTTGCTTTTTCTGTACTCTCTCTTTAGTCATAAACGATAACGATTTTTGAAGCTCTATTGGTCGCATAAAGTACAAATCGAAGACGCCCGGAAGGCTACAGTATGTCTATTGACTTAGCCCAACAAAAGGTACAGTATGATAACAATAGGCATTGGGTAGAGATCTTTTTCACGAGAGGGTGATGCAGGCTTACCAAGACAAAGTCACATGATGTTTTCTTTTTCTTTTCAGAAATGTTCTTGGCTTCAATTGCTAACAACAGAGTGCAAAGCGCGCTAGTAGGCCCCGAGAAAATTTAAAAAGCCTCACACGAGGTCAACTGACGCCTGGACACTTGTGACATTCAGTATATGGAATAGAAAAACTGCTATTTAACCGCAACTATGGCGCAGTCAATGCACCGAAAGCAAAAACAACCGAAGTTTCTCTAATAAGCGCTATCAGATTTAACCGAGGATCCGTAAACACAAGTATGTAACACTGTTGCAACTCTCGTCGTGCCCCTCTTAAAATGCATCAAGCCCTCGTTACAAGAAACCGACCGCACGCCATTCAACATCCGTACTGTAGCCCTGCGCCGCCCCGTCGTCCCCACGTTAGACATCACCTAGCTAGCCCCGCAGAAGGAACCAACTCTGACTTGGTCCGCATGCACCCTGGCACTACCGCCACGGGCTCATCATTCGGGACACTTACCCTGCTCCTCCTCCGTTCGCCGCTGTCACTGAAGAAACTGCTAGAAAGATGCCACCTTACTCTCACTGAAGCCCCTGCGAGCAAGATCTCCCCCGCAGCACCACGCTTTATTCATTTGTAGTAGCATACATCTAATCCAGCTTTTCAGCAATCATCTTCGATCGCACGTGTTCCTATCACACTGCACAGGCCATCCCTCCTTTCCCCACCGGAATTATTGTCATCATAGCGCAAGCATGTGGGAAATAGTTTTAGTAAACGTCCGCAGCCTACAAACTTCAAAAGAACGTATGCTGCGGTTGTTTATTAGAGGGAAGGAACCTCGCCGTAGCATATACAAAAATTTATTTTGTGAGACGGTGAGGTGCGGTTAGCTTCGCATGAATAATTGTTATACTGTTCGTATCGCAGACAGCCGTAGCTGCAGTATATGCCTTGCACAACTATAAAAGGTCGCAATTCAGCGACCCAACTCCTTCGATACTATTTATACAATTTCTTTATGGGCCATCTACACTTTGACCCTTTCTTTATAGAGTCGTGCTTGCGTATTCTTTTCGTGAAGATATCGCAATCCGAGCGACACAGTCCTCGACAAAGGTGCACAGTACAGTACTGTTGTATACAGTTGACTCCGAAAAGGGTGGCAGCAATAAAGGCGTGGGCTGTGCGAACAGTATCGCAAGAGCAGCAGAGCTGGGGTAGAGATAGTTTTAGGGAGCAGAGGCTCCTCGACCCGAAGAGCCAGACGAGACCACATCGAGTACATTGTACGCTATGTGGACCACGGCTTACTTCAACCGGGGCAAGAATAGAGCCCTCAGCAGATATCTATTAGAGCGGGGGGTGAAGAGGGAGCACGGGAAATCGAAAAGCATGGATTGAGATGAAAGGATTGCTGCGTGACCTACATTCCACGAAGGCAAATGACGGGGATGTGAAGACAAGGATGCCGAGGAAAGGACACGGAGGCGAAGGCGTGCGTTGCGCGTATCGAAATCCGAAAGTATGAAGAATGTTATCCTGCGACCTGCATGGGGGAGTATCGGTCAACAATGCAAGTGAAGGGAAAAGTAGACGAAGTCGTTCGGTTTTCTTGCGTAGCTCTTCCGCTCAGCGGAGGTGAGCTGCATGGCTTGGCTCGCTGCATGGCTTGACCCACTGCTACTGATACATCCCAAGATAAGACTGTGAGATGGGGCTGCCTTTTCGTTCTTGTATAGCGGGAAAACGTCCCAGGCCTTCTTACACCGCACGGTTATTTCACTATTGGAAATATGAAGTATCTACATTGTTGCACACATCAACGGCGGCTTGAGCCGCCATGGCAAAGCACAAGAGCTTCTAACTGCTTAGCAGCGAACCTTTTCGCAATACTTTGGGATAAGGATCTAAAGTATAGGGTCCTTTTTTATACTGACGGGTAGTGAATATTTCTCAACGCAAGCGGAATAATTTTCCATCGTCCAGTAATTTTGGGGAGCAGAAATTGTGTCATGCCCGACCGTTTTAGTGCAGCAATGTCCGCGATAACACTCGGGGCAGGACGCTAAAATTTCCCTTCGGCATCTATGTACAGTACAAGGCATTGAATTGGACGAGTGTTTAGGCGTATGTGTACGTGAAGCAAAGGTTGAAACAAGTAGCATTGATTTTAAAGGAATATCGCGCAGAGGTAAGAATATACTTTCAAATCGGAAAGGGCCGAAAAACGATAAAAATTTGTGTTTCGAAATATATCAAAACTGTACGCGTCTCTGTACTGTACACGCTAGCGTGTATAGGGGTGAAACTCCCCGGAGAATAGCGAGTGGCTGTAATTACTATCAGCCAACCGAGCGTACCTCATCTCGCAGCCTCGCTGCTCCGTGGTACTTATGGCGCCATCGTGAGCCTCTTGCCAGCCCCCCCTCTCCTGGCCATGTCTATTTCTCTTGCCCGCCCAGCCCCGGCTGCGCCGCCCTCTTGGTAGTTTCCTTTCTCATCATGTCTTTTTCTCTTTATGTTTTCTTTATGTTTTCCAGTTCGGTTTAATGGTTTGCGTAGCCTTTGTGTGTCCCCTCTTAGCCGATGTCTCGTGACCGACTAGAACCAATAAACTACGAATATCTTCAGTACATGACAAGGAAATGACTTACGAAGCAATGATGAAGAAATTGCATTGCCGCCACTCCCGGAGCGGAAATTTTTGAAAAAACTAAAGCTGTGAGCATTAGTTGGCCTTGGACGCATTTTTCTCACAGACTTAGAACTGTTTTCTGTTCTCATACTAAACCATACGGTGTACATGTTCTTAACAGAATATTTTCGCTACAAGAACAAAAAAAGGTGCACCATTCATATTTCTACATCTCGATACCACCGTACTTCAAATGTCTAGATTGTAGGACCGGAAAGCAATAAGAAATGTTGAACTGGATGTAATAAATGTGTTTGATACGTCGGAAGAGTCAAAACTTAAATGTTCGTGTGTCGTATCTACGAGTTCCGATGAGAACCATCAATCGGGCTTTGAAAATTCCTGATTTAGCGGGTCCAGACAGATGCAACATGGCTCTCCTTGTGCGGGTTTCACCTTGGATGTGTGCAAGCAGGAAAGGCATGGAGAGCGTACAAGTACTACACGCATTAGACTCTAAGTTGATTCGGCGTGGAGTGTGTGGAGACTTATGTCCTTATGGGAGTATTGTTATCGCCTCTTCAACTCTCTCGAACCTTATCGTATCCTAAAACTAAATCAGTTGGCTTGACAAATGCATCATTTGGAAGAACGATGTGAAGGGTTTCCTGGATAATTAGAGGGTAAGGGGGGTCGATAGACCAGTGAGTCATTAAAAAATTTCTCGAGCTCCTGATGGAAAGTCCGTTCATCTGCCGCTCTGGGAATGGCCAAGTGTACCGGTACAGTTCAGTGCCAAAAAAACGACATGGCCCGGATTTCCGAAACCATTTGATTTTCACCAATTTGGCAAAATACTGTGTCGTATTCAGCATATGGTGCAGCGCAGGGAACAAGGCTCTGTCTTGTACCCTCGCAATGCGACCAGCATTGCGCTTTTCAATCATCAAAGGCATTTTGGTGACGAATGAGGCCACAAAGGCCAACATCCGCTGGACAATCGCGAGGCGACAAAGTTGAAGGCTGTCCTACCGTCTCTGTCCCACTGCTCCAATTGCCTTCCCAGTGATAGCGCAAAGTGGAAGTAACGTTTTGGCAATACCACCCATTCTGCACAGGAGATGGCACCCATAGCTTCTTCTAGCAGTGATGAGGTGATGAACCTTCCAAGAGTCCCGCGCGTGCGACGCGGCGCCGTAAAAACGGGAAATTCGGCGCAGGACTCCTCGGCGACGCCTCCGAAAAGTGAGAATCAGAAGGGAAAAGCTCTGCCGCAATCTTCACGCAAGTCGCGGGAGTCTACACTGCGCACACGTGGGAAAAAAAGGCAAGGCACGGACAGTGTGCAAAGCGACGAAGACGAGGACGACATCGATGAGGAATCGGAGGAAAACGTTCCCATGAGACGGGCGAAGCGCGCACCGCGCCGTGCGATCCAGGCGAGAAAGATTGTCGATGATGAAGACGAAGAAGAGGACGATGACGATAATGCCGACGGAGATGATGTCATTGGAGAAGAGGATGATGCTGGTGGTGACGGGGACGATGAAGGTGATAATGATGACGATGAATCTAAGGACCGCGACTCTGAATCGGAGTCTGTATCACTCAGCCGGGGTGAGAAGAAGGTAAAGCAGGCTAAGGATATGAGTAGTGGGAGCATTTCTAGAGACGACGACGAAGTGGACGATGAGAGCGAGGACATGAAAAAGGTGAATGCTGGACGTGACAAGATATTGGCAGAATTGGAAGAGGCAGAGGCCATGGATGACGGCTCAGATCCGCTTGACAGCGACGACTCCGTGGTGGAGAAAGGGACAAAGAAGACGGAGCGTTTAACAAGGCGTCAACGCGCGATGCAGGGAGAGAACGTGAAACTCGAGTACACAAAGTTGGAGTCGCCCAAAGCGAAGAAGGCTGCACCACCGGAGGAAGCGTGGAGCAATGACGAAGAGGCAGAACTGAAAAAGCAGCAACGCGCGCGCCTGCGCCAAATGATTCATGAGAAGAGGAACAAGGAGAAGCGAGCAGCCATGGTGGACAAAGTTTTACGTGGCGTTACTTCAAAGAGGAAGAAACTCACGATGGCATCCGAGGAAAGGGTTGCCAAAGTGGGAACGCGGCTCAGCAAGAATGAAATGCGCAAGGGGTGTATTCGGTTTGTGAGCAATCCGACAGGCACATCCTTATCAATTCCTGAAGAAGATGATGCACCCGCATATCTACAGGAAAGTCTAAAAGCAGTCTACCCAAAGCCATGTCTAAGAGATCCACGAACTGGAAAGAGAATATTTACAGATGCGTAACGTCCGTAGTGCGATTGCGGTACTTCGTTAGCCTCGAGAAACAGGGTACTGCTGTATCTTTTGAGACGTCTTCCCATTGACATGGGACCGTCCTAGAGAAGAACTCGCGGTCGCTCAACAGGGGAGACATCATCGCCCCCTTTTGGTGTAAAGCCCCTGTGTTATACCAAAGCGCACGGGGAAACCAACCTCATGACGACAACAGAAAAACAGGTCGCCTTGTGCCTAACATTTTCTACCGTTCTGCGACAAGCTCAGCAGCATACCTTTCCGCATCGATCTCCATAAAGTCGTCAAAAGCCTCGTACTTGGGCTTCCACCCCGTCACCCGCCTAGTCCACGACCCATCATACAGCCTAGGCTCGCCTGCCTCGCCCTCTCCATATTCCGGCACGCCCGTCTCCTTGTACTTGGGATGTTTCAAAGCGGCCTCACAAATCTCTCGTCGCGTCACTGATCTCTCCGCGCACGCCAAAAACTTGCTCCGCCCCTCTCGCTTCTCTTCCTTCATCCTTAGCACTGCAACCACAGCTGTCGCGGCATCCTCATAATGCAGCATGTTCACGAAGGAGTCTACGGGCCCTGGCACGGCCCGTTTTCTCAGCCAAAACACGTGCGGCCCTCGATCCCTCGTATACAACCCCGCTAGGCGGATGACGTTGCCTTCGGGCACGGCCAACACCTTATCCTCCGCCTCGGCGAGCACTAACGAGCGCCCCTCCCTCAACTCGGGGGTCTCCTCCGTGATGCGGGTGGCGCTGCGCCCGTGCACCGAGCCCGACGACGTGAAGACGAGGCGCCCTCCAGACGAGATGCGGCTTGCGGCGATAGCGGCAGCGGCGGGATAGTCTTCCGATTGACCGGGAGGTGCGCAAAATACAACGTAAGGGAACTTTTCAGTGGAGCTACCCGCCAGCGAGGGCGTGGCGCCCGCCAAAGCCACGGCCACGTGCGAGGTTGCGCTGCGCGTCTCTCCGAGGATGGTGGCAGCCGGGTGGGCCTCGCGCCAGACTGTAGCAATGAGACGGCCCAGGGTGCCCGCGCCGATTATGAGCAGGTCGTCAGTGTTGGTCATGACAGGGGCGCGGCGGACGTTGCGGGTGTGGCGGGCAGTGCTGGGGCGGTAGGAAGGGGATACGTGTCGCGTCTCGGGAGAGAAACTGCAACTGGAGGTCTGGCGGTGAAGAGGGAGGGCGGAAAGGAAGCAAAGGGGTAGCGCCATAACCATAGGGATAGTGGAGAGGAGTGGATGCAAGATGAGTAAAAGACGGAAGGTGAGGAGTTTCGTATCCGGTCTCGGCGAAGATGCCGGACGGGATTGATCTCCGTAGCCGTAGTTAAGGGGAGCACAACGCACGTGTGTCAAGCAATTACACGTGTATACGTCTTAATGCTCTCCACTAAATTCGTACATAGCTGTGTACCTGAAGAACAACACGACCTCCTTCCCCACTATCGTCCGTCGCCACCCGCCCAAGTGCTTCCCTTCTCCGCTCCTCACAGCCTCAGCCATCATGGGCGGCGATGGCGGCACGCTGAACAATTCCCGCGCGGACCACGTGCGCATGCGGGCCGTCCTGTACGGAAAGTCCACGCGGGCTGCCGACACGTCGCGCGCCTCGGTCACGCACTGCGCGCTGTCCAAGACGTCGCTGCGCCCGCCGCACGTGGTCGTCGACCGCGCGGGCAACCTGTACAACAAGGACGCGCTGTTGCACTACGTCCTGGCGCGACGCGCGCGCAAAGGGCCCGCCACGGCGGAGGGGGAAGCTCTCGCGCACATCCGGAGCATCAAGCGCGACACGGCGCGCGTGCAGTGCGGCGCGGACGGGCTCGTGTGCCCGGTCACGCGCAAGGTGGCCAGCGAGGGCGGCGGGTTTGGCGTCGGGTGGGAATGCGGGTGTGTGACGGCGAGAGTGAATGTGGAAGGGGTGCGGGGGAAGGAAGGGGAGGGAGAGGAGGGGGGAAGGGAGGTTAATTGTGTCGCTTGTCAGGCGAAAGGGTCGAGGGTGCGTCTGGGGTTGAGGTTGGAGGACCGCCTTAGGGTTTTGGAGGAGGGCAAGCTGCGGGAGGGAAAGAGGAAGAGGAAACGCATGGAGAAAGAGGGCACCGGCTCAAAGAGCAAGCTAGCCCGCCTGCCGTCGGATGCATCGCGTCACCCTGAACAAAGCGCTGCGACTTTCGCCGAGAATTGAAAACATACCATGGCGAGCTTCTCCTACACGTGCACATTGATAACTTTATTCGAACATCCCTTTCTCAACCATAATCAGTAGCCCGACCCACCTGTCCATCCGCCGTTGTACGGTCTGTCCTGACCCTGACCCTGACCCTGCCCTTGCCCTTGCCCTTGCCCTTGTCCTTGACGCGATCTCAATGAGCCTGCTGTCGGCCCAGCCAATCCGCCTCGTGCACGCCGTCCGCGTCCTGCACCTTGATCGCCGGGATAGTACCCACCGCCACCGCCGCCACGCCTCGCGTACCCATCGCGCGCGTATGCAGCGTCATAACCTCCGTCAGTAGAGGGGTTGCCCCAGCCCGGTTGAGTCGCGTGCCGAGATTGCCACCCGGTTTGTGCTCCACCACCAGATTGACCTCCATTCCAACCTGCTTGAGCTTGCTGCGGGTAATATCCCCCATATGCGCCCTGCTCTCCATACCGGTTCCCTTGATCACCGTAAACCGGCTGCTGCGGCTGCTGCATCTGCTGGTGCCCGTATGATCCCCGCTGCGGTGACATGTACTGCTGTTGGCCCCCTCTTTGACCTCTGCCGCGTGAGCTTCGCATCCAACTTGGCTGAGGCTGCGCGCCCAACCCACCAAACATACCAGATACTGCTGTATTAGGTCCAACTACCGCAGGACCATTGATGACTGGCGCATCCGGTAGATAACCGGTGCGATGCCCCGTCCCGTTCCTGGGTCTCTGTCGACCACCCCCGCCTCCCCCTAGCCTCCGGTTCCGGTCGTTGACAAGCTCTCTTGCCGCACGCCCAAGAGATCCAAACTTGGCCTGTTTCCACCCTGAACGCCGTGTATCACCGCGTGAGAGAGCACTCAGCCACGGCGGTGCAGTTGCTGCTGTCGGAAGAATTGTTGATTGATGTGGTTTGTAGGACGGCAGTTCAAATGTCAACGTATACACATCACCTTTGATACCGCCATACTTGGATAACGGATATGAGGTCGTGCCGAAGAGCTGACCTTGAGCTGTTTCTGTAGCGATCTTTTTCCGTTCAGATACGTCTGTGCTTTCTCTTGTAGACCGTGCTACCCCAAGTGGGCTAGTCTTGTGAACAATAACGCAGCAATCCCCAAAAGAATTGCGTTCCCTCTCTTCCTCCGTTAGCAAATCTTTAAGCGGACTCAGGGCTGCGTTCAGACGAGACTCATCAATAAATGGAAGGAGGGCAACACCTTGCCACGCAAATCGCTTGCCATTCAAGTCCAACTCAAAATTCTCTGGATAATAGTCAATGATAGGCGAATCTGGCTTGACCATTAAGTCGGAGTAGCAGGTTGGTAGCACAAGCTTCCCACTTGACGCAGGCATCACAGCTTGAAGTTGTGTGAATGGCGCGAAGGGGTTGCCTAATTCAAATATAATGTCTTCAGAATTGATATCGCACTCAACAAGATCGGATGCAAACGGTGCATAATGATATGGGTAGTACCAACCCCATGACAAGCATCCCACATAATAGTATTTCATGACCCACTGCAAACCTTCAACATACTTTCGCAGCAACTGGAGCTTCTCTTGTTTATGCTCTGGACCCCATCCAAACTTCTGCATATAATATCGGCCCTTCCATCCTTCTTCTCCAAGCTTGATGTTATCAAAAACCTCGAGTTCATTCTTCTCCCTCATACGTTCGTTCAGCGCTTCTTTGAAGTCAGACTTTGACTTCAACACAGGGGATCCTTGAACGGTAGGGGTTTCCGAAACGCCAGTACGCCTTGGCGACAAGCTGTCTTCCAAAGATGTCGTTTCTTCTGTTCTTGTCTGTTTGGGTGATTTCTTTCCCTTCTCTCCGATTTTACTTAAGTTTGCTTTCAGTGCAGCAGCAGCAGCAGCATTGGCTTCACCAGTACCAATTCTTGGCTTCTTGTCCTTTCGACCGAGTTTTACTGTTTCCATGCTGAATGCCGCCTCTTGGTATCCCTTATCCTTTTCTGCAGCCGTGCGCTTAGCTCCCGCAGATTTCGCCTTTTCTGTGCCTTGCGGAGACCTTTTTGATTCTGCTTTCTCTCTCTTCTGCTGGGCAGCTCGCTCTGCACTTTGCTGTTCTCTCACAGCTCGTTCTTTGAATACCTCGTCTTCTTTGCGACCAACGCACTGTAACAGCTTTCGTACTCTGGTAAAATCGACGTCCCCCTGGGATGAAGTTAGGTATCCTGTTCGACGCAATTCCGTCTTGTAGAGTTCTATGAGATAATCGATTGCTCCCTCGCGAATATCAAGTGTCGGAAGATGAGGAAGGAAGTCATTCCCGACGAAAAAGCACATAAACACGAAATCATCCAGAACTCGCTCCAGGTCGTATGCAATATCTGTACCGGGCTGGGCGGCTGCCAGCTCCTTTTCGATATCCGATTTGAATTCGCAATCGAGATATTCGCGTAGAATGTTGACGTGAAGAAAATGGAAGGGTTTCTTTCCGCCAAGGTCTGCTCTCATGCTCAACCCAGCTTCTTCAGCTAGTGAGGCAATTGCAGGGTCAACTTTTGGTTGGGGATTTGGGGTTTGATTCGACCTATGCCTCTGCCCGTTTCCCGGACCACCCCTCTTGGCAAATACCTCCTCCCTAAGTATAGTGAAATAAACTTCGTGCGTCGCAAGCGCAAGCATAATCAAATCGGCATCAAGGCCGTACATGACATGCCGCAAGTTGGGGTTGTAGTCTGGTTGAGTTCTCTCCCGGCGGATATACTCTGCGATCTTGTGTTCGCCTTCCCCCGGCACCGAGGCATCGGAGAAAACGACGACAAGATCTCTCCAGGCGGGGTTGTTCCGGATTCGGTCGGCAACATAAACGCGTAGTGCGACTGCAAGACGCGACATAAACGGTGTGCCTGGGGTAATGACGTTAGAATCGAATGGGAGATTGCTGTCGTCATCTTGACCATCTTCTTCCTCTCCTTCTCCCACTTTGAGGCCCATTTTGTTCCATTCCTCTTCAAGCTCCTGCGCGACTCGAATCTTTTCCTCTGCTTCCTTGGCCGAACGAAACCTTCGCGAACGCTGTTGGTTAATCTTGGCACGTGGCGCAACGCCGTCAATAGCCATGTAGAGAAGCTTTCGGGGGCGAACTATGGAAAAAATACGGTCGATGTAGTCGCAGACTGCGTCAAACATTTCCTCTTCGGTAGTGGGAGCCGGGCGGTCCTCTGGATGGGTGCATGGGTGGATGATGCCGTTCATGTCAAGATAAAGGTTGTCAAACTCGATACCGTTGGGGTTCTTTGCGGTGGCATCGATGGGGCTCTCATGTCCAGACGAGGCATCAAAGTTGACAAACTCAACGCAATCAACCATAATCTCCGGGAATTTGAGAGAAATCCAGCGGAAGTAGGCCGGAATACCCATGTTAGAAAGTGCGAGGGGGAAGAAAGAAGTTTGTTGGACAGCGGACGACTGCCAAAGGCAAAAAGGGGCACGCGAGGAGGCGCGCTCTGATCAATGACAATATCAGAGGCTGTGTCGGGCATATCCTTTTGCTAGGGATATTTGCGTGTCCGGGAGGAATAGAGTGCAGGGCAGGAGGAAAAGCGCAGAGGAACGTTGTGTCCACACAGAGTGATGAGGCGAATGAACCTTGACGGTGTTTGTCAAGAGATAGTTGAGGGCCGTAAGAGACGCTGACTTTAGGGTGTGAGCGAGCTGTAGATGTGTGATGTGCAATTTTTGCAAAAGAACAGGATCCGAAATTACCGTATGATGCTTCGCTGTTCGCTCTATTTTTCTGTATTTTCCGTATTTGAAGCTTAGTTCTACGCACATCCGCCGCCGTCAAGAGAACTTCTATTATGCCCCCCCGCTCGAGGTTCTATCGTTGCCCTGTCCTGAAAGCCCAGTTTGAATTCGGGCCACGCACCAGAACGCCGCCATGGATCCTGCCATTGCACTTTGGCGTATGTATGCCGCCCCATCCTATCCGTTACCTGTGCTACACATGTTTCCGGCACAAGTGGTATCGGTGCACAGGTGTACACATGGTTGCCATGCGTGCAACACTAAGGATGGCAGTATTGTACCGTGCGAAAGGCCACGGTCAGCGTTACAGCGCACCCCTATCATGTAACTTTACCCAGACTAGTGCTCTGCGTAAGACTGCGGATAGGAAGCACAACTTAAACGCTGATTTCCACATTTGCAATAAGAGCGATAAGCTAGGAAAGGCATGTGCCCGAGACATCATTGGGCCGGTATGCACAATTAGACATGAAAGCAAAAGTTCGTGTATAAAAAAAGTGCACCTAATGCCAGTGACTGCAACAAGGGCATTCTTCAGAACTAATCGTAAAATCGTGCTTCCGACTGTACACACTACCTTATCACAGCACAACAGCTGCCGCAGAACCCTACACCCGTCCAAACTTGAAGAATATAATGTCTCCATCCTTGACCCGGTATGTCTTCCCCTGTTGCTTATACTGTCCGGCACCTTTCACAGCCGTTTCCGACCCGTGCTCTTTGTAATTGTCATATGTCATTACTTCCGCACACACAAAGCCCTTTTCAAAGTCGGTATGGATCGTACCCGCCGCTTGCGGTGCTAGCGCCCCGTCCCGAATAGTCCAGCACTTCACCTCGTCAGCCCCAGCGGTGAAGAAATAGATTAACCTCAGACCGCGATACCCAAGTTTGATGATTTTGCCCAGCGCACTCGTAGCCCCAATCTCCTTCAAGTACGCGTCCGCCGCCTCTTTGCTTTCGTTGGCTTCGATGTCAACAAGCTTCCCCTCAAGTGACGCCGAGAACGGAATGATCAGTTCCCCTGAGTGCGAATCAACCCATTCCTTAATCTTCCCTAGCCACTTGTTCTTTCGCCGCACGTAGTCCTTCTCGCTCAGATTGACGAGGAAAATGGCAGGCTTCGCGGTGAGGAACAAGTGCTGGTTGAGCACCTCGATCTCAGCATTGGTCCAGTCAATTGTGCGCAGCGGCTTCTCTTGCCCTTCCAGACAATCCTTCGCCTTGAGCAGCGTGTCCCGCGCAACCTTCAACTCCTTCGGACACTTGTTGCCAGCGCGCGTTACTTTGAGTTCAGCGTCGGGCAACAATTTATCTAAGCGCTCAATATCCTTCAGACGGAGCTCGTGAAAGATGATCTCTAAATCTCGGATGGGATCCACTTCTCCCTCTACATGGGTCACGTCGGCATCAGAAAAGGCTCGACACATGTGAAAAATACCATCCACTGCCTGGATATTTGACAAAAAGGCATTTCCCAAACCTTCTCCCTGCGACGCGTTTTTCACCAGACCGGCAATGTCCCACACATCCAGGTAGGCCGAGACCTTGGAGCCCGGCTTCCAGTGATCGACGAGCCAGTCGAATCGTTCATCCGGGACGGGGACGCGAGCCTCATTCGGCTCGATGGTGCAGAACGGAAAGTTCTCGGCTGGTACGTTGCACTTGGTGAGAGTGTTAAAAAAGGTACTTTTACCGACGTTAGGCATCCCGACAATGCCCATCTTGAGATTGTGGGTGAATCGACCAAGCATGAGACGCTCCGATGGAGCATCAGAGGCGCCTCCCTTTTTCTTCGGCGGCATGGCGTATCTGGATTTCTTATATCTGCGTGGTACGTGCTAGTTGTGCGTCGGAATCGCGTTGGAAAGATTTGAGGAATGGACGATTGTGTCGGGAAAGGATGGCGCTCACCGGGGCGGCAGCAGTCGGCGGTGCGGCGTGGTGCTTTACAAATACTGCGCTTAACGGGGCCAAGTTTCGAGACATCCCCCGAAAATTATATAAAATTTTCTCTATAACGAGCAAAATTGCATATCCTTTTCTAAGCGATACTGTTCATTGCAAGCGATGCAGTGCTGGGACTTTCAACCCCTTCTTCAGAAAACTGCAAAGTTAAGGTTTAAAGGAACACCGCATAGCCCTCGGTCCTGGATCATAGAGCGCTTTCGGCGGTGAGCTGAAGAACTTGGTAGTACTGTGGCACTGCAGACTAAAAAAAATACAGGCGGTTCGTGGCATTTTGTCGGAAAAAGGGCGCGATGTGAGAATTACTTGCGTGGCGCGCAGTCACGATATTCGTCTTTCGAGTACTTGCCAACATGCATCCTTAGCTTCGGTTACAAACACAAGCATGCCGAATCCAGAAGGTAGATACCGCCGCGAAGCCCGGCTCTATGACAACCCCCACGTGGAAACAATCGTGACTCATCGGGTCGACAGAGGCAAGGCAATAGGTCAACTCATGCAATTTGCTGCACTGGCAAAAGCTAGTTCTCCTCGTCAATTAACTTAATCACTTGTGTGCGTGGCATCCAAACGCAGCAGAAGAAGATGATGCAACAACTCGGGTCCAGATGCTATCTTTACCTCCCACCCAGACAGAGTAAACAGCACATAAGCAAGTATCTGTAAGTCCGGGTAAAAAAAAGAAGAAAAAAGAAGTACGCCGGCCGGGAATTGAACCCGGGTCTCGCCCGTGGCAGGGGCGTATGCTACCACTATACCACCGGCGTGCGGTGATTGTGCTGAGCATTGAAACTTCATGGTATATGAACTATATAAAATTAATGTAAAATGCTTACAGTATTTTTTTTGATTTATTTTTTGATAAATAATGGGACATTCTTGGTGAAATGAAGTGAGTACCCCGACAGGAGTGCCATCGATGTAATCAGATGACAATAACTGAAAAGAGTGTACTGTACGGTGACGCACCGTGGCCCAGCACAAGGAGCACCATGTCGCCACGTGCAAGTGACTTGTCGTTGAGATCCTCTGGCTTATCCCCTTCACCATTCCAAGCGAGGCCATCACTTGGCGAACGTATTCCCAACTCCCCCGCGCCAACCGTGGATACACATCGCACTTCATCCTAACTCCCATGCGTTGTCCAAACTCCATCCCTCCTGTTGAAGAGCACAGATTCTTCTGTCTTTATCACTGTAACTCTAATTATGCCTGGAGAGCACCGACTACGTCTTACCTGCATCTGGCACACCTGCATGGCGCTTCCCCGCATCCCTCCCGCCCACACTCTCAATCACCTACACCACTCTCCAAGCCATCTTATGTGCTTGTCGTTACATCAAGCCAGAACATACCTGACTCCACCCCCTGGTAAACCCTCCTCTACATTGCTCAACCCCCCGTACCACCTAAATCATCCTCACTTCTTGTAGGATCACTTCACTTGTCCACTCTTTTGCTGCCTTCTTCGGTGCCGCACAACCCACACAATTCCGTTATTCCCCACCAGCTCTCCGCTGTCTTACAAAAGCCACCCCCGCGCTCAGCACTAGACCGCTGCCATCCAGTACCTTATCCTACACCATAGTCGCGGTCCCTCCGGCTACCACTACCTATCGCTCCCTGTATCACAAACCACTCAGTTTCTCGACAAACCGCCTCTTACCGCCTCTCCCCAGCCACCACAATCGAGCGCTCTCATCTGTTCTAGCCCCGACATCCAACAACATCAGCACAAGCACCGCCTGCCTGCCTCCACAACTCTCAAGCTTAATCCTTCCTAACTCAAAAAAACAAGTCAACAAGAATCTGGACGATCACGTCAAGGATCTACTCAAAATCTCCCTCAACCAACGAAGAGATCAACCTCCCCCCGAAATGTCGAAAACAATTGCCACCACCACCGCCCACACCGACATATCCATGCTCGAGTCCGCCCTGGCCCCGATGCGTCTCTCTTCCATACGCCGCCCGCACCGCCGACGAGGACAGCTGCATGACGTCGTCAACCGAACTCCCATTTGGCCCTCGGACGAAGGAATTGCCCGCTCTCTCAAGTCGCGCACCCGCCGCGCCCGCTCACGTCTGCTCCGACTCGCGCGCGAAAACCAACGCCTCCTCGCGGTTCTTAAGCATGTAGAATCAGTCATCGCGCAGTGCGGTGATGCAAGGACTGGGGGAATCAAGGCGAGGCTTTTGTAGCGGTATCACGCTGGGAGAGAAGAGTGACATTTTCCTTGCCCTCTGTCCTTCTGGACGCTGTGCAGCTTTTTTTGGGATGAGATGGATCGCCAAGGTGTAAATATTCACGATTGTAAGGCGGTAGAGGTTGTGGGGGATTGATGAAAGAGTCACTTTAGAAGGGCAGGTTTTGTGTAAAAATTGTCCCTGCTACATACACGAGGTCATCTCCACGCGACGAACACAGCTACTTCCCTACCTGGATACGTGCTTGCGATACTAATTGCAGATATTGTTAGCGATTGATATATGCGGGAGCGTCAACCTGGCACCCGGTTTCATGAGAAACAATGGGACGGCTGGCTCTCTTCCCCAACTACACAAATGCTGGGCCCTTTGGAGGATATAGAGGGGTTGGCGGAGAAGCCGCATCCTGACTCTGCGAATATCCGATGAGGAATACGCCGACAGCGGCAACAAAAGCGACCCCCCCGAGGATGGTGAAAGTCGAAACACCGCCGCCCGCTTTGTCGCTAGCGATACCCTTGTCGGTAGATCCAGTTTTGGCTTCTGCAACGCTGGAGTCAGATGAATTTGAGAGAATCGAAGAACTAGTCGAAGATGGAGACACCTCCGGCGATGTATAGTTCTTCTCCCCCGAACTCGCTTGCAAGACAGACGAATGCTCTGTCGTGGACAACGTGTCAGCATCTGGACCTTGTCCCATCTCTGCATCATGTCCCTTAGCCTCACTGTCACTCGAAGATCGAAGTGTATTGTAGACGCTCGTCAGCCCAGCGATTGCTTGCTCAATACCTTGCGTCAGTGAGGTATGACTGCCTGACACATCATCAGCCCTGCCCCCCACGTCGTTTGATTGCATACCCTCGGCCGACGGACCTATAGGTCTGGACGGTTCTCGAAGTTCCTTCGAAATGGAAGGATATGTTCCTACTCCTCTCAGCTTGTAACCTTCACCGCCCACTGCCGCTCTCGGTTCGGAATTTAACACTGAGCCTCCTTCGCTGTCTCGATCAACGCCAGCAAAAGATCTCTTTCTTAGTGAGCTCTCCACACTGTGCTCCGCAGCACGGTGATGACTGGTAGGATTGGCTGCGTCATGAGAAATCGATGTCTCGGGTGCCGTGTCCTCTGGTAAAGGCTTCTCCAACAAGCCGAGCTCTTGCACTGCTTGCATGTCCTGGTTTCTCAAGCCGTCCGTCTTTGATGTACTTCCAGCTATTTCGTACTTTCCCAAATCATTTGTTTGCGGAGCGCTTTTCTGTTCGTTGCTTGGATTTGTGGCTTTCTTGGGTTCGGAGCTGCTTCCGAATATGCCCCCCCATGACACTGCTGTGCATGATACAGAAAGGAATGCGAAAATGACTACTGCAAATAAAAGCTTCATGATGCAAGCTGAGGGGTTTCTCTGACCTACGGGATTCCGGGATGCCTGGGGACTACGATGAGTTGTTTTCAATGTTGATGAGCGGCCAAGCGGTGGTGGGGGGGGGGGGGGGGGGGGGGGGGGGGGGGTGGGGAAGCTACTACGAGGCGGACGGGAAAGAAGCTGAGAAACAGTATAGGAGACTGGGATTGTGCGTGTAGCACGATAGAATTTGAATGTAACAAACTAGCCGCATTCTTTAGCGGCGTATGCTTAAAATAAGGGTGACTGGGGGAAGGGTGCGGGAATCAATTCGGAACTAATTCGAAAGGCGGTATGCAATGCCTTGCCTCGGGATGCTTTCTATACAGCATTCTTTATGCGTGGCTTCGATTAAAAAGCATTGCTTCGATAATGTGGTTTTGGTGGGTAGGCACGTCCGCCTCTTTTGCTCTTTCGCCTACACTGTACATGCTCCACAAACGTTAATTTTGCGGATGTCTGCAGTGTTCGGGAATGTGGCACGCGTACAGTAATAAAACGGGAATCATACAATAGGAAAGTACTGTGCAAGAGGCTATTTTGGTTTGGGGCCATTTTATTAATAAAAAGTAGGGCCAGGTGTCACCTAAAAGCAAATGAAAGTGGCTAGAAAGTGCACAGCCAAGGAGAGCCCGTTTTCGGATGCCCATTAATTACTCAACGTCGACCGCATTGCCGTCACGACAAGGCTGAGGACCAGTTTTCGCAGCAAGATATGTCTTTGGCCCCACACTACATGAACTCTCTTTATCCGGTCAACATATTGGGGATGCCTGGAGTAGCCTTACCCTTGACGAGGGCGGCCGGGAAGTCGGGCATAAACTCTCTCTTCGCTGAGACTTCTCCCGTTCGGTCATCAAATTCATAGGGGTACAACGAAAGATGCCCGTAGGGCATGTCTTGCACTTCCGTCATGTCATCATCCGAGAAATGATGCCAGTTTCGTTCTGCAAGCTTCCTCACTCTGTGAACACAGCCGAGTGAAGACGGCTCTTCAAACTCGGGGTAGTAGTCACCCAGATGCTCGCAGAAGACACTCGCTCTAAACGCCGCCACATCGCCTTGCGGATATGAGTCCTCTTGTCGCCCAGTATCACTGAATCCAATAGAACCAGTCGCCACATGCTCCTCTTGCCATGCCATGATCGCTATCTCCGTGTCGCGAGAACCATCCAGAGACCTAGAATTGATGTTGGCAGATCCAATGATAGCGACTGTGTCATCAAAAATTGCAAACTTGCTATGAAGGTAAATCATAAAGCGACGCGACTGGGATAGCGTCTTTTCCATTGGAGTAGTTCCGCCGTTCCCTTGGCCGCCTTCCTCGGACTCCCGGTTGACAAGGCAAAACATGTTGAACCAGTCTGAAATGGATGTATCACTATTCGTTTCCGCGATAGCTTTGGCAATCCTTGATGTAATCAAGTTGACGGTCTTCCGTTGATGAGACAAGATTTCTTGGACGGCGCCCGAGTCAGGTGGTCCCTCGGGAAACAGCGGAATGTTGACGTATACGGCAAATCGTTCATTGGCACGGATCTTGGCACAGATCTTTTCTGCCAGTTCAATGGCGATAAGGTTGGACGCAAAACCACCTCGTTGGCCAGAATCCCAAAGATGGCTTGATCCCAGAAAGTATTGGTTTTCGAGGAAAATGAAATGCTTGGCGCTGCGAATGTTGTGGACATAGGCTTGATGAATGCTTTGGTCAATCGAGGCATTCCTTCGGACGTAAAGACCAGGTCTATCCGGGCTGAGCGTAGTGGATGATTCGTTGATGCTTCGCAAAACTTGCAAGTTCCAATCGCCATCTCGGATCTCATCCTCTTCACTCGGCTGGACAAAGGTGTCTGCAGGATGAGTATGGAGCATGCCCTTTACATTGTCTGGGGCCTGACGACCCCAACGACCCTCAAAATTGGTCATGACGTCCCAAGCTGCCGTGCCGGTGATGTGACTGTGGATATCATGCCAGGGCTCTCTAGGGCCAGATTCTGGGGCAGTACCGAGGGCGCAGGCTTGCCAAAAGTCAGGAAGTGCATGATGACCATCCAGAGTCCTGAACAAGCTATGAGTGCCATTGTCGTAACGACCATCGGTGAGATCGAGACCTCCAACAAATGCCTCGACGCGATTCTTGCCTGTTTCATTATCGCGTCTTGTGACGACGACGGTCTTCTGATGATGTGTGAACAAAATGGAGTCATTGAGGTCGGAAAATGGACCATCCTTGGCATTCTGACGGCCAACCTTGATGCACTTAACTTTTGTCTTTTTGAAGTAGGGAATAATTTCTTCATCGTGCGTGCCCATAAGGCCCTTTGAGAACATACCACTAGCAAGTTCATCCCAAACCATGACAAGAACCTTGACACCCTCCTGAGCTTTCTGCTTGAGCATGTCGCCCAAGGTGAGACCCTTCCACTCATCGCCTTCACAGTCCGTGCGGACCATGACGAGCTCAGGCCAGACGGCCCATCCGGTGATATAGATCAACTCTGTAGAGGACATGATGGCCTTTGCGAGTTGGACCCAGCACCTCGAATGCTGAAATTGCGGGCGGAATGGGATCTGTGGGAGATGGCCAGGAATGCAATCGGCGTCCTGATACATGGTGACGTCGATGCCCTTCCGAACCGGAAAATAGGTGTCGGGAACGGCGACTTGGGCCAAGTCAGGCAAGTGAGCGACCGGAGTATATATGAGTTCGATGCGCAAATCGCCCAAAGAACCTTCGGGAACGTCATCTGGATCGATGTCAGAATCGCTAGAATCCTCATCGCCGGCGCCCCCCTCTGCGACGACCTCACGTTGATAGACACCCAAGGGAAACCAACCCGACATGGTACGCTTCTCGACAATCTCAGCGGCCGGGATGGAAAGCATGGAGAGATGCTTAACCTTGGAGATGAGCGAGAGCGGGCCGCCGCGCTTGGCGGCCTTGATGCGAAACTCGAGGGCGTCTATATCATGGGCGACATCGAAGGTAGTGGAGACGTTCCAGACGGGGCTGGCCGAGTTTTGGATGACGGGAGTCTGCAAGATCTTGTTGTAGCCGAGCTTGACGGAGCAGTAGGGGTCGACGCCGTCCATGGAGCTGGTGACGACGCGCTCGATCTTGCCCAGGAAGCCTGCGCTGCGGCCCTCGACGTTGCGGGCCTCGAGGATGCAGATGGTGAGCTTGCCATGGAGGAAGGCCGCGCGGTCGGGATTCAGCTCGGACGGATTCAAGACGGCCGACATGTCGGGCGTGGGCGCGGACTCGGGGTGGTCAGTGACGGCGTCTCCGTTGGTCTTCTTCCGACCGAGCAGCTTCTTGAACATCTCGGTGTGGCCGTGTGTGTGGGGCACCAGGATCGGTCCGTGGGGGGGGGGTTTAGGGGGTTGCGGGTTGGGGCGGGGAGGGGACCACGGCCTGGGGCGTACTGTACAGCGTGCTGTAGGTTTTCTTACATCATTTAATCATTGATATTTGAAATGTACGTTTTCGATTCACGAGGGGGCCAAGGGCTGCGGCGTACCCTTGGGTACAGTACACAGACGTACGCAGCACCGAGCGTTTCGATTCGCCAACGCGGGGCCGCGGGGGCGCAGGCGGCACACGGACCGCGTTGCCGCCCAGTTGGCGCGCAGCTGCCCGTCCACGCACCAGCCGCGTGTTCTTCGGGCGGGGGGTGCGGGGGGTGCGTTTGCGTGCGACGGTTGCGCGCGCCCGCCAAGTGGCGCGCGGCGACTGGGCGCGCGGCGCGCAGCGACTGGAAGGCGTTTCCAAATATCTTATTTTCGGGCGCCCGTTCCGCGCGCGCGTGCGCGCACGTCACCCGCCCCCGCCCAGCGCGCGCGACCGGCGCACCCCGCAGCTTCGCTTGCTGCCTGTCAAGTTGTCAAGTTTTCCCTCACCTCCATCATACTGCTGTTTTTCGTCCTTTCGCCCCGCTCTTGCAACAACAATTCACGATTCGGACCCTGCTCACAACAGAAAAGTCAATTTCACCCGTCTGTTGCCACCAAAATGCACCTGATCGCCCCCCTAAACGCAAAATCTCCCTTTATCTTTCTATCGCCCTTAAGGGGCAGTACCCTCCGCCGTCCCTACGGGTGCAGGTGTACACGTATACACGTATACACTTGTACACATATACACGTATACACTTGTACACATATACACGTATACACTTGTACACGTACGCGTAATGACACTGCCAGCCGGGCGTGCGCGCGCGCGCCCGCGTCTCGCCCCGAGAGGGAGAGAGAGACGCGGCTCGCGACCGGGGGCGCATTACACCGCACGCATTACACCGCCCGCGTGCCACGCGTGCCACGTGCGCCGCCGGCGCGCAGGCCGCGCGCGCGCCCGCGATGGCCCCCCGCCCCCCCCTTGTGGTCTAGTGTCTAGGTGACAAATGGCCTCATATGAGGTCACTTTTCAACTTAATTTTTCTCGACTTGTGCTCGCTGAACAAAATGGAAAAAGATACTCTCGCCACCGCAGTTGACTTCTGCGCTGTGGAAGGGTGGAGCTTGGTGAGATCTGCACGTCCTTTCCAGGCTTTTTGAGAATACCTATAGAAGAAGCTTTTTTAAAGAACATCAAAACGTTTTTTGTTGATATCTTCGAAACCAAAACGCCTGTTTAAAATATCATCCGATTCTTGAAACTATATTAGATTCTTACTATTTCTGTGTATTCATAACTGCTATCCCGATGTTTTGCAGGAAGCTATTACCGAGGGAATATTGGTTAAAGAAATGGTGTCTAAACTGATTTTATAAAATTTCGATTTAATGTATACATTTTTGCGAAAAAAAACCCGGCCTCATATGAGGCCAAGCCTGACCTCATATGAGGCAAATTGCCGGTCGTCTAGACACTAGACACTAGGGGTCACCTTTACCTACGGTCCCCCGTGGGTAAGGTGACCCCTAGACCTAACCCCCGCGTTATAGTCTAGGGAGAGTGCCCGCCACCCATAACTAGGGTAGCGGAGATCCCGAAGCCCCAAGAGCCGGAGAGCGAGGGCGTATACGAAGTTGAATGAGAAGAGAACAACATCCCCAGAGTTTGTAGACATCATTCACCGTCTTTGGTACGTCCGACCAGCTGTAGCACAAGAGAGCAAACGAGCTAGCTGAGGGGGGGCGTCGAAGACCTGGTACGGTTAATGCCGAAAGCTGTTCCGTTGGGTTCAATTCCCAACGAGGTCGTGATCGACTCAAGTCGGTTGCGTTGGTCTGCTTTAACGACCAAGAAGAAAACCGCGCCGATCAAGCGAGAGCTTGGAAGAAATCGTTGCGAGACGCGAGCTTTACCTGCGGTCCCCCGTAGGTAAGGTGACCCCTAGACATAGCCCCCGCGTTACAGTCTAGGGAGAGTGCCCGCCACCCACAACTGGAGTAGCGGAGATCCGGAAGCCCCAAGAGCCGGAGAGCGAGGGCGTGTGCGAAGTTGCACGGCCTTGGTAACATTGGGATTATGTCTGGACCAGTGCCCCCGGGCGAGAGGTGCAGACATGCATATATTACGTCAAGCGGACGTACAAGCAGGTGCCCACTGGCATGGCCTTGTGAGCGTTGCAAGATGTGTGAGTACCCCTGGACGTGTCCAAGTCACCCCCCAGACCCAGAGCGGAGTTCAGGGGGGGTTGAGGAGGGCACTGACAGCGTGAAGATGAGCAATCTTGCTGACGCGGCATGTGTGTGTGCCTTCTGTGGGGGCGCTGGACGGGGGAGTCGCGGAGTGGGATGCTCATGTGACACACCCCCCGATCCGGATTGCTGCTGGAGTGACACGAGTTCCGAGGGTAGTCTTGGGGGGGTCGTCGATATCGGATATCGAGACCCCTCCCGGGAGTATGATTTCGGTAAGTCTAGTGTCGATATCATGGTGGGGGACCTCCGCGAGATAGGGCACAATGACCGTATCGGTGGCGCAGAGTGGGGGGTGTTTGACGAGCCCTCGCTGCTGGCGAGGACGTACAGGTGTGGGGACCTAGGGTTCTCGGAACCGATAACGAGGGAGAGGCCGGCCGGCAGGGTGGGCCTCTTTATCAGGAACGGCCGTGTGGTGTTGACGGTCGGGAAGGCGGAGATGGTAGTGAGTCGCATGTCCGAGCTGCCAACGCAGAACTGGTACGACACTTCGACGCGCAGCTGGCCCTCGTGGATTAACCGGTCGCGTGAGATGTACCAGACAATGTACGACGCCGAGCGTCGGGGTCTAATAAGCCTAGTCTCGGACGTGGCGGACATGGGGGGTAGTGCTATTCTAATTGATGTACCCCTACCGTGGTATGGTGGGAAAGTGTACGGGGGCCAGAAACTGGTCGGGCTGACGGAGGCCGATATATGGCAGTGGACGGCGGAACACAGACGCGGAGACTACGGGCCGCAGGTGTTAATCCCAAAGGTCATGGTGCCGACCAGATTCGAGTTAAGTCAGAGGAAGGTGTTTGACACGAACCCGACTAAGAATAACTCATGTTTCATGCGCGGGGGGAGTATCAAGTACGAAAGAAGATGGGAAGTAGTGGAGCTGCGCAAGGCCAGTGAGATTGTTGGTATGCCAGTTTGGGTGTACGCTAGTGATCTGTGGGACTGTTCGAGGAAATCGATCTGGCTGGACCGCAGGTCAGTTGACCGCAGCAGAGAGGCAGGCTTAGATTACATCATCGTCGGCAGGGACGGGGTTTCTAGTTTTGTCGCCGAGTGGGCGGATGAGGACTTGTCCGAGCACGCGGAGCTGCGAGTCCGTGAGGAGACGAAGGGATCGGGCACTTTTATGCCATCTATTGAGACTGTCTTCAGAGTGTGGGACGTGATGTGGAACAAGTCCGAGAGTATCCAGAGTCTTGGAGACATAGCACAGATCCTGGATGCGTCGGAAGAGGCGGTCCTTATGTGTGGTCAGGAACCTAGAAGGCTGCTGCCCTACGCGGCGGGCGACGGGTGCTACTTCAGACTGTCAAGACCACCCTGCGTTTCAGGCGGCTCTGAGTCTATCGGTGAGGTGTCTGTGGAGGTGTTGAAACGGAGTGTCATATCCCGCGATGACGCTGGTTACTGCATAACCAGCCTCGGGAAGAAGCGCATCGAGGTAGGCAGGAAGCACATCGGGCCAGTCAGAGTGGGGAAAGGCAGCCTGTTCGACCTGGCGAGGGGCGTGGTGGGTAGCCAAACTGGTGATATGTTGGGCCCAAGCTATATGGATGTGCTCCCGGAAGCCGACTGTGCCGTCAGCTTTGTCGAGCCGGACCCTGAGCCAGTAGGCGGAGGGAGCAAGTTCGGTGGCTGGCCGGGGGGAGGTCCAGCTTGTAGGCCGGGCCAGGTGAAGAGAAGATTGGGCCCAGCAGCGGGTGCGGTTGTGCGGGCCCGCCTTTCCGGTTCCCGAGAGAGTTACGCATATACAAGGGGGTGCCCCCACTTTTTGCACAAGACCCCCACCAGTTGAACAACTCGAAAAATATCAGATTTTAAAGCAAATAAACAAAAGCATTGCTGTTATTACATGTCAAAGATGTGACGGAGACAAAAAAGGCCCATAACTGGGCGGGGAATCCAAATCAAACATTTTGCCGCGCTTTTTCGATATCTGCGTACTCGAAAACACTTAATTCGATGTGACGGAGACAAAAAAGGCCCATAACTGGGCGGGGAATCCAAATCAAACATTTTGCCGCGCTTTTTCGATATCTGCGTACTCGAAAACACTTAATTCGATGTGTTCTGCTCCATATCCCTAATGCCAGATTTTAATGTGCGAAAAACCGAACATTAACTTTGACGGCCCATAACTAAGTGACCATGAAAGAACCTAGAAAAATGAGAACATAGAGCCATTGTGGACGTGTAGCTGCTTTCCTCTACTACTTTTGGGGGCGGTACCGTAAATAGCCCCGGAGAGACAGAACGTCAAAGTCGAGGTCTAGGAGGTGGGTTAGGCAACCTAAAAAGGGTCTTATGTGCGAAACAACGCACATAACTGGGCCCTGTTTACTCAAAGGGCTGGCTTTGTGACACCTTCCCTAATTTGTTAACACGCTCTTATGTGCGCTTCCTTCTTTTGGATCTTTGCTCCGAGGTTCGCTCTGCTTGTTCGGAAATTCCGCGAGTTGATGCCAGTCTAGTATTAGACCGTGTAGTTCGGGATGGCGGAACACTTTCCGTTTCCTGCATCCTTGCCTGAGGGGTGATTTCTTCTTCATTGTTGACAAATTCTTCCTCGCCACTATCCTGTCCTTCAATAAAACTTTCGTGGATTGAACCGCTACTCTCAGACAGAGATGTACAGAGCAGATGTCACATCTGAAAGTGGTACGATGGCCCCGATATCCTGTGGTGTGCTGACCACATAAAGCACAATACTGTAGCAATCCCTGTCTAACATGGTGTCCCGCACTAAAAGACGCACCGCAATGCCATCGGTAGAATTAAAAAACGCGAGCCTGTTGCGCTTTTTAGAATGTGCCAGGCTTATAAGCCTTTTAGATTCCTGTGTGCTTGTCTCTTGTCTCGTTTCCGTCCCATTATCAGTTCCAGCTTGCAACTGGATACTCGCTGCATAGCTGACCATTTCTTGGGCGACGTCAATCATGAAATCACCAGTAGCCTGAACTTTGTTCAGTGAGTTGCGGTATTTCTCAATAGACTTGAACTTCGCATCAGACTCCAGTAGATCCTGCCTTTGAAACATTCGCCAAGCAACAAAAGCGTTCACCGCAATCGATTTTATGATTTGCGAAACGATTTTCTGCTCCCACTTAAAATGAGATGTTGAACTGCGCATGATGGCGCGTTGCTGGGTCGCTCCGTCTACTCCCGCTTTGGTTTTAGAATAAAAGCTCTGTGCGGCGTGCTTAAACAACTTCAATGGTATGAAACAGCCATTTGTCTGGACGTGGTTGTCAATGATTTGCCAAAACTTTCGTCTCGTCTGTAGCGTCACCTGGTCTGCCACTTGTACTTGTACGAAAGGAGGTGCTTGCGTGTCATTGCTGAAAGCCCATTCAACCAGAGGCTTAGCGAGAGCAATAATTGACCTTTGAAATAGGCCACGTGCTGTCCAAGGTATTCTTATGATTACAACATAGAGCACTCCCGTTTCCCCAGCAGCGACGTAAATGCAAAACTCCACATCTAGAACCAGAGATTGGTGAATTATTTGTCCCATGTGTGCACGCGGGATGTACTTCTTAAACGTGTCGTCACCAACCTTGCACCTGACGATGTCAGGCGACGCCAACTGCACAGCTGCGCCTAAAGTGGTTGCAGCCACCTTTGTCTTGATTTCCACTGTAGCTAATACGATTTTCTGACCTTCAATCTCCTCTGTAGAGGCAACATCATCCCACTCCTCAAAGGAAGCTATGTCTATAAGAGCGACCCCGTCTGGAGAGCATGCTATGTATCGGGCGTCTTTCATGGCGAGCATTCCAACATCAAAAATAGCCTTCACTTCCTCTTTTCCCTTTAGTGCGCTAATAACCGCAGGCTCATTGATTGTACCCCGCTTCATGGCTTCAGTTGAGACCTTTGAACTGAACCAACCGTCGTGCAACAAACGAAACCACTCCCCCAATGTCCTTTCATCACCCCCTGTCACATCCTGCAATCCGAGATTGTTCCTAACCGCCTCGCATGACATCAGCAATTGGCCGGCGTTAGTGCCTGTTAATCTGAATTGTCGCAGCACAAACCAGTCCGCACAACGCTGCCCCAATGTCAGAACCTCGCACACACCACCTATACGATCCTCCGCCACCGTTCTCATTTTCTGAGTCGCTTCTTCAGCCTGCTCAGCACCGGTAAAAAGGGTATTTGACAGTCTGACGTTTGATTTTGGCACAGCGATCCAAGTGTTGAGACTATCCTGCAAAGCCAGTGGCACAGTGTACATGAAGCGAAGTACCTTGGCGAACTTCGCAGTTCCATGCTCCCGCACAGCCACAGCAGTTGCGTGGCTGTTCCCATTCCGTCTTCCGATACCCGTTATGGACTTTGAAGCGAAGAAAACTTCCGGACCCATTTCGGGATTGTCATCTACGATGAACTCCTGCCTTCGATCATACGCAGTGACCTCAGCGTTCCGCCACTCTCCAGAATCCTCTTCCTGTCCATTACTTGGGGCATTGCTGCCCTCTTCTGACAGTGCATTTCCAATGACAGGTGCAGTACGCATGAGAACTGCGGCGGCAGCGTCTGCGGTGCTGTTCGTGCTGGCCTGTATGTCGGCACCAGAATTCCGGATCATCCCATTTTCACCATCTAATCCACCTTCGATGGTGGAGTGATCAATCTCTATCGCTACCTCTTGCTCGAGATCCTCTCGGTACGGAGTGAGGTATGACTTTGCCACAAAGGGGTGGCATCGCAAGGTGTTATCGGGCATCACGAAAACCGAACAAAGGCCGAACTCCATCATTATTCTCATAAACGCCTCCTTTCCGTAACCCCGGTCAGCCGTAATGATACACCCCGTCAACGACTCCTCACCTCTGCCGTCCAACAGAGTCACTAAGAGCTTTCGTACCGAATCAGACTGCGTCTCCCCCCTCCTTCTGAAACGAAGGGCGAGAATTACGCGAAACAGGGCATCTGCTACAGCGTCAGCAGAATGTCCTTCCCTGTCTGCCTTTGGAGAGCTTAGCATCTTTACTTGATTGTCCACGGCGCGGGTGCCAAAAAGATCGTCATCCAGAGTTGCCGTGAGGTGTAGAGGAACTAAAAATACGTTTCGAGTTTCCGCAAATGCGATTGCTTCGAACTCCGTCAAGTTCTGCGTTAGATCACGTTGTGCAGACCATGTGCTTTGACCCTCAGCACCCCTTCCTGTTGGACGATACGCCAGTATGTTCGACGCAATGTATCGAATGCGATTGAGAGAGGGAGGGATACTGCCAGCTTGGCGCAACAGAGAGATTGCTTTCTCAAAGCTGTAGTTTCCGGTGTGCGAAAGTAGCAAAACAGACACGTAACGATACATGTCGGAGAGAGTGAACGGTGCTAACGAGCATTTTCCAGCCGCCGTTTGGATTCTGGCATAATCATTTAGCCATCCTAGCAACTTACAAAGCAGTTCGTTCATGAGCAACACGACAAAGCCACATCTGGTTTGAGTTAGGCCTTTAGCATTCGTTTCGAGCTTCATGTTCGTCACAGCAGCTTTGCATAAGAGTCTAGCCCGATGCTGTATAATTGTGTGGAGGAACTCTGTTTCCATCATGGCGCTGTTACACTCTGTAGCATTCATTGTCCAACCCTCACTTGCGTCATCAACCACACGCCGTGACCTCGATCTCCCACGCCCTCTTCCTCTTCCCCTAGCCCTACCACGTCCAGTCGCACCCCTTGCCCGTCCAGTCGTACCCCTTGCCCGTCCAGTCACACCCCTTGCCCGTCCAGTCGCACCTCTTGTCCGTCCAGTCGCACCTCTTGTCCGTCCAGTCGCACCTCTTGTCCGTCCAGTCGCACCTCTTGCCCGTCCAGTCGCACCTCTTGCCTGTCCAGTCGCACCTCTACCCCTCTCTCTTGATCGTTGCGGAGGCAAGCTTTGTGTCCCATTGGGACTGTCATTCTCCTCCACTAAATTTGCTCCTGAGATTCCAACGTGTTCCCCACCCAATGTTCGCGCCAAAGGAGCACCGTCTTCGCCCACTGGGCTGCCAGGAGTGGTCATCGTGGAGACAAGGGCTGGAAGAGTCGTGTTCGAATGCCCTGAAGAAGCCATTGGGGAGACGGCACTGTGAGGCATCTTTGTCGCCCAATTTTTGTCCAATTGCCAAAGTGGAAAGCCATGAGCGACTGAAAAAGGCGCCCGAGGCAAAGTGTCGCCGCACAACTGGATCTGACAGAGCCGTTTTTGAGTCAGAGCGATGCCAAGTAAGCCCTCGTAACGGCTCTATGGGCCACTTTTTCGCACATAAGGGCGAAACGGTCATGTCCCAATTTTGTTGTTAAGTGCGATTTTCGCACATAACAGGCATTAGGGATATAAGTGCAAATTGAAGCCTTGGTGACCTTCCCAGACTCTCCAGACTGTGTTAGAAACCGGGTGTCAACTCACAATGGGTCGTGTCAAGCGAATGTCGAAGCACGAGAGATGCTTTCAAAGGGCTCTTGCTGCAGTTCACAAGGGTGTGGATAGACGTCGTGCTTCGTTAATTGCGCGTATGCCGTTATCCACGTTTCAGTACCGCCTAATGCACAAGGACAGGAAGCCGATCAGCCGAACGTACCTCACCGCTGACGAAGAAAATGTCAACACTGGTTTGGTGGTAACCAGAATTTGGGATACCAAACAGTACCAGGGGCACCCCTTCGGATTCCAGATATTTTTATATGGTTGTAAAGCTTAGAGCAGTAGTAGTGATATGCAGAAAACAGAAGTGGACAAACCAAAATAGTTTAGAAGTTATCGTCCAACATGTACTCTCTAAATCTGGGGGATAGGGG